CCCCAAAACCCCAAAACCCCAAAACCCCGTGATACTCATAATCATGAAATTAAGTTTTTAAAGAATAAAGTAATATTTTAAGTTTTTCAAAGCTAATGAGGATCCTTCTTAAAATTTTCTTCTTCAATAACACTTTCTTAATGATCGAATTATGGAGCCTTTCTCTTGGTATCTGTTTACTGGTGAGTAAATTTCGGCTCATCAAGCTTATTTTCTGAGTCAAATTTATTGTTTTAATTGACTAGTGACTGTATGCTCCTCTGGTTGTTGTTAACTTCAGGCTTTTAGGAAGGGTTAGCAGTAGAATGAAAGTGTGAATATATTTTTCTTCTTTGTTTGTAGCTACTTGCTTGATTGTTATGTATTCCTGACCCAAAACTACTATCGTGAGCTCCACTATTATTATGGGCTCCATGATTTATCCGAGACAAACCAAAGTTCGCATTTTTAAATTTGGTTTTTCTAGCTCCATGTCTACTGTCCATGCTCTATGACATTTCATTGAGTCTACCTGGCTAGGTGCTTGAGTAGTCATGGGAAAACTGACTGTTCTTTGATCTGATCTCATTTTGAATTATCTCTGCATAGTTGAAATCCGTAAGCATTCTTTGATTTTTACCTTTTATCAACTAAAATTCAGAGGCAAGCTTTGTCTTTGTTTTCACTAGTTTTTTTAATTAGTTATATATCTTACAAGTGTCTATTACAGTCTGATTTTAGTTTATCCTTTTGCTCTATCTTCTCTTTCCAACCTAGGTTTTTCTTAAATCATATGAGTTATTTAGTAAATCATTTCCAATAACTGATTGCCTAGAAGAAGGTTGCGGCTAATCTAATAATTTTATACTAAATCAAATTTACCTGCTTCTCTATATTTTGATTCCTGCAATTCCTTTAACCTCTAAACAGTCCCGCTGCTCTTTTTGAATTAATCTTGATAATAAGTTGCTGATTTATTATCAAAGCTGTAATTAATATCCACTCCACTATTGTGAGACTTCATTTACGTTTAATATCCGCTCTTAAACTGCCCATCAAAAGATTTCAAGCAATTATTACTCTCATTTGATGATTTAGTATCCCCTCTTGTAGCCTTTTTATCTGATTTGAGATAGAATTACGCTGTGTTAGGAGTAGACTTTGCCAGTTCATTATTAGAGTTCTAAGTTCTGATGGCTTTTTTATTCTTAGGAGTGGCATGATGACTTTACACTCGACTTCTGCTTTAGCTTCTAATTAGATGTGCCTGCAATCCTACACTATCATTATAGTCTGTATTTGGTTTAGGAGTTGTTAAGAAAATAGAAGAGTCTGTGCACTATTCTTCACTTTCAGTTTGTACCCCTTTGCTTGCTTTTAGAATCTTATGGTTATGATCTAGTATCTTCCCAAGACTGTGTAAGTTATATGGAACAATTTTATATACATGCACTCTTTAGGGTGATACCCGTTTACTTTTTTGTTTTTTCTTTCTTGCCTTTTATTCTTGCATCTAATCATATTATGATTCATTAATCTTGATGCTTATATTCATTAGATCTTGTCCAATGTCTAACTAGTGCTTTAAGTTTTCTTCAAACATCTTAGTGTTCTACACATTATTGCTTGTTTAATTCATATCCTCATCTTCTTAGTTTTCATCTTCAGTCATATTACTTGTTGTTTCTTCTTCATTATCTTCATCCTTAGGAAGTTCTTTGACACTACTATCGTACAATTATTTTCCATGCTTTGATTTTGAACCTTAAATATTTTGGAATCCACTATCATTAAAATTACCAGCAATAGTGTTACGAACTTATCTTTTTCTACCATCTTTCATCATCTCCATATCACTATTATCATCGTAATTAATAGAACTCTTTTCCGAGCCTAAAGATGCCTTAGATTACTCAATAGAGCTCTTTTCCATATTTCTTGGACCTCTTTACATTAATGTTTTGCTTTTTTTAATCCCATTTCCATCCATTGCTTTAGTGTTACTCTTTGCTAGACTCTTTTTCGATTTTACAGTTTTAAGAGATCTTAGTTATTCTTCACTGACCAATCTATCATACTCTGGCTGAATCTTATCTAAATTTTCAGCTTTCTACTCCATTTCTACATACTTGTAGATGTCTACATCAGTCAAAACTTCCTTTTCTTTTTATTCGAAAACAGCTTGACCTATTTATGTTTGCATTTCTTTGGTATGAGGTTCATACTGAGTATTTACATCATTCATTGGAGGCTTTAATAAGATTTCACTAGTAACTTTGAAATTGAGATCTTTGTGCACATCATATATTTCAGTCAATGTATATTTGTCTCTTTTCTTGTCGTAAAGTATTAACTACAAATTTTTCTATGTACTTATGTTCATATCATGAGATGCTTTGAATTTCATTTTTTGCAGCTGTTTCAAAGGTGTAACTTGGATCATCATTTCTAATTCAGGATTACTCCTTGCTAGTTTTTTGCCTTATTGGTTGAGTCTTTCAAATTCTTTCTCTAATATCTCTATATAATTAGCTGAGTCTTAGAATGTCTACCTCACACTCTTAACTTCGTATTCCAAGTTAGTTAACTACTTTCTTTTACTAAGCTATTCATTTTAAGACTACTCAAGTTCCATATTCAGCTCGGAAAACTAGTGCTTGAGAAGCTCAATCTCAGCTTGCTATTTCTAGATGTTGTAGCCTAATTCTGATCCCTTTTTAATCAGCTATATATTGCTATCTCTTACTTACTCAATTTCTTTATCATAAAACTTCTTCCATTCATCTTTCTCAATAGCATGACCATCACGGAAACCATTCTCATATATAAACAGTTGCTATTTTTGGAAAGCTATTTAGTTCAGATATTCTTTTTCCAGATCAGCAATCATCTTCAAGTGATCCTTTTAGATACCAAACTTCATTTGATCTTTGATCATTTCTATAGACTAGATATATTCCTACCTTTTATTTGATAAATCTGAGTTCTTATTACTCAATTCTTTGGCAAGTTTTAAGATCTCCTAGTTAGCTTGACTTGCAACTTTGTTAATCTTTGTAGCTGCATCATGCTTTACAATACTTAGCTCCTCACTAAACTCTTTGCGAATTTTTTCTTAAAAATCAGGAGTGATTCCATATTCTTCTTCTAAAACTTTAGTGAAAAATCCATAGCCAAATGAACTTTCTAACGCTTTCCAAATATTTTGTGGTGATTTCTCCACGATATGTAATTTTCTGATGATATCAATAGCATTAAGTTCGTGTAGGCTAATTAAATGGTTGCCGTCTCTGCAGATCATTTCAAATAAAGTGATCTACTTATAGTATATTTCATTAGTCTTTTATAGTTAATGAAGCTAGGTGTTAAACTTTAATGCCATCAAACCTACTTTTTCATTAATAATTGCCTAAATTTTCTCATCCAAATCTTTGCTTGCTTCAAAGTATCTAACATCGATATAGTCTGCCTTAGCTTAATCTTTTTGAAACATATACTCTCTAAGATGACTCAAATCCTTCAGATAATCATGTCTCATCTCCTCTATTTTCTTCTGATCCTCTTCAAATTTTATTTGATAGTTTTTAACATCATTCTATCTTTCATTGTATAATTTCTCCATCTCCATATATTTATGTTTGTACTCCTCTTATAAAATCTGAGCTTATTAAAGCTGTTCCCTTAATTATGAACCTATTTCATCCCGAGGAGAGTCAATTATCAAAGTATTATTCAGACTACTCAAAACGTTACCTCATATCATTTTATTTTCTATTGCAGTAGTTTTCATTATGACGGACAAAGGTCTATGTCTTATTATGGTTTTAAAAAAGTCCTTACAAAGCCTCTCTATTCGCATTAGAATCATATCATCTCCAGTTAATTTTAATTGGTTTTTTATCTCTTCTTTTGACGCAAAAAATATTTTGCTAGGGTTATAATTGTCTTTCATGCTAAATAGCAACTGTTACTACTGGTTTTATTTTGATTGCAAGTCGTTTTGGGCATTTAAGAAACTCATTCCATCCTCGTGTTATCATTTAAGCAGGATATTATCTTTGAATACTTAGTTTTTGTATTAATCAATTTTCTTGAATAGTTCGTCAGCTGGTACCTTCCCATCTAGTCTGGGATTGATCAAGTACTATTCCTAGGCGAGTTCTAGCTATTCATTCTTGATTTCCTACTCTTTGATCCAGTGATCATAAACCAGTTTTTTTACATCAATTAAGGCTTTTTTAAAAACAACTGTTAACTCCTTAGGTTCATATTCTTTAGTAAGAGTGCTTTCTTAGTCTTGCTAAACTATACTAATTTAAGTAGTTTGCTAGACTGGCTTAAAATTCTTGAGATCTTTATTATCAATAATTGAGATCTAGCTGTTAAATGTTGCCTGTATCAACCCTTTCTATGTATGGTAGTTCTTCCTCTCTAATTCTTTGAATGACATTAAGGAAATAAAATTTTATAAACTTAATTATACAATTTTATGCTAATTGAATTAGTTTAATTTATTTTTATGAATGATTCCATCTATCGGGGTTTTGGGGTTTTGGGG